ACATGACCACCTCATGGCATTGTTGGGGATGCATGCATGTACTCCCCTTTAAATACAAGGCTACGAAGGACGGAAGGGGGGGCAAAAAAAAGCAAAATTCCTACATCTCCTATTATTATTCTTGATTTTTCTTCTTTTAGCTTGGAGCTCCATTAATGGCTCCAAGCTCGTACAATGATGTATATGTAAACTCCCCCGAGATTAATAAAAGTTCCTCCCCTTTGGCATGACACCGCCTAAAAAAGCTCGTGGTTTTCTCCCGATTTAGGTTTCCACGTATAAATACTTTCTCTCAGCTTTATTTATTTATTTATTTATTTATTTTCCGGATTTCGCTATTCGGTGCGGTGTTGACCCGGTGTCGATTTCGTCGGGTCGACGCCCCGAAAAAGCGGTTTCCATCACTGGCGCCATCCGTGGAACCGGTCACAAAAAACTTTTGTGCTCCGAGTCCGTAATGGAGGAAAAAAGTGAGAGAAAAGGTTAAAAAATAAATGAAAAAGAGGGATGGGGAACAAAAAAAGGAGAGAGAGAGAGTGAGATTGGAAGAGGAGAAAAGTCAAACAAATTGAAAATAAAGAAAAAGATACTCCGTCCGTATTGTGCTTCTGTACTTATGGGCTGCCTGCCGAGATTCATTGAAGGAGAGGCTCGAAGACAATTAATCGTGAAGAACGGGGATCTTTCCGGCGAGCAGCGAGCACGTGGTAGGGCCGCTGACAGTACCCTCCATCAGGGTCGGTGAGCATCCTCCCAGATCGGCAAGCCCTCTAGCGTGCTTCGTCTCCGGTGGATCCAGTGGCGAGCCAAACCACTAGCAATTGTCCACTCCGGTGAAACTTGGCCCGGAAGAAGCGAGTTCCCACTTCTTCCAGCGAGCCGCGGATGGCAGCGGGCGCGATTGCTCCAGTTCGTCCATCAAGCTCCCTCTGCTCCGGCGAGACTCATCGACAACAAGCGGGCCTTCATCTTCGACGAGATCCGGCGAGCTCTGACTTCCTCCACCGAACCACGGACGGAAGTGGCGAGCCCCTCTTCGGCGGTCCTCTCCATAGTCCATTTCGGCTTCATAGGACCCTCGAAGGGACGTCTCTAGCCTCAAGTGAACAATTCCATCTTCGTGGGTCCCTCAAATGGACGGATCAAGCCTCAGGTGGTCCGTTCCGAGTTGTATAAGTTGATAAAGGTAATACTGTAAAAGAATAGAAAGCAGAGGTCAGTAATTAGATCAAGTTAGGTGATCGGATTACTGGAGAATAGAAAGCAGAGGTCAGTAATTAGATCAAGTTAGGTGATCGGATTACTGGAGATAAAAAGCAGAGGTCAGTAATTAGGTCAAGTTAGGTGATCGGATTACTGGAGATAGTTATAGACTCCCGTACCAAGATTGAGGAAAGAGTTAGAGAGAAAGAGAAAGGTGGACGGAGATTGTCTATTATTCAATAAGAGCGGAGCGCCCAACCACTGTGAGATAGATATCAGGTGGAGGTTTAGAGGCTCCCAAAGAATATTGAAAAAAGAGCCCCGAGCAAAGTCATCTTCCCAGAGGCAACGAATCCCCGAGAAAAGTCCTCATCCAAGAGGTACCGAGCTCCGAGAAAAGTCTTCTTCCCCGAGGCACCAAATCCTCTTCCAAAGAGGAACCAAGTCCCAAGAAAGTCCTCTTCTAAGAGGCCCAAATCCCCGAGAAAAGTCCTTTTCCAAGAGGCATCGAGTCCTCTTCCCGAGGAACTAAAAAGAAAGAAAAGTCCTCTTCCCAGAGGCACCAAGTCCCAAGAAAGTCCTCTTCTAAGAGGCCCAAATCCCCGAGAAAAGTCCTCTTTCCGAGGAACTAAAAAGAAAGAAAGGTCCTCTTCCCAGAGACACAAAGTCCCGAGAAGGTCCTCTTCTAAAGAGGCACAAAGTCCCAAGAAAATCCTCTTCCAAAGAGGCACAAAGTCCCGAGAAAGTCCTCTTCCAAAGAGGCACAAATTTCCGAGAAAGTTCTCTTCCAAAGAGGCACAAAGCCTGAGAAAGTCCTCTTCTAAGAGGCACAAATCCCTGAGAAAAGTCCTCTTCTAAAAGGCACAAATCCATGAGAAAGTCTTCCTTCAAGAGACACCAAATCTCAGAGAAAAGTCCTCTTTCAAGAGACACTAAGTTAAATCCTTACCCACAAGGTAACGAGACCCTCCAAAAAAGAAAGTCCTCTTCCCGAGGTACCAAGAAAAGTTTTATCCCATGAGGCAACCCACCGAGTCATATAGTTTTGAATCTGTCTCGTTCCCCAAGACAGACTCAAAACTAGGGGGCATGTGATGGATTAGGGATTTTTCCTAATCCAATATTATTTGAACAGTACAAGAAAGCCCAATTTTATTTGACCCAAGATATAAATCAGATAAATTATTTAAGACAGAATCAGAGATATGTGGACAGAAAAATATATTTAAAGTGATGTAAAAATATTTAGTGGAGTCCATTTACAAAACATGTGCACATGGAGGTGACATGGCCACGTCATGGCATTGTTGGGGATGCATGCATGTACTCTCCTTTAAATACAAGGCTACGAAGGACGGAAGGGGGCAAAAAAAGCAAAATCCCTACATCTCCTATTATTATTCTTGTTCTTCTTCTTTTAGCTTGGAGCTCCATTAATGGCTCCAAGTTCGTACAATGATGTATATGTAAACTCCCCCGAGATTAATAAAAGTTCCTCCCCTTTGGCATGGCACCGCCTAGAAAAGCCCGTGGTTTTCTTCCGATTTTGGTTTCCACGTATAAATACTTTCTCTCAGCTTTATTTATTTATTTTCCGGATTTCGCTATTCGGTGCGGTGTTGACCCGGTGTCGATTTCGTCGGGTCGGCGCCCCGAAAAAGCGGTTTCCATCAGGTCTGTTAAATTTAAAAGTTAAGGTGCATTGAATTTAACTTTTTAGATTTCATACAATCTATGTGTATTTAATTAGAATTTTAAAAAGTCATTATAAATTCTCTCGAATATAAAGGTATTCAATTATGATTTTTAAAAATGAATAGAAAGATCGAGATCTTCAAAATAACAATAAAGATATTGATTTTATAAAGTCATTCATATTTGAATTCTTTTACATTTCCATATAGGAGTATATATTTGTCCTCCAAAAAAAACTAACCTTTAGAGTAAGTATTCTTTGTAGACTTTTTCACTATATCTTGAACAACAAAGTCAAAGTCTCCTCTCTTTGTTTTTGTTTTAAATTAATCTTCAATAAATAATAATTACCAACGTGATCTTTTATATAATTTAGATTTATTAACTTCATATTTGACTTTTTATGATTTTCCATGCGATAATTTGACTATCAATATCTCCATTTTTATATAAATATATATCATAAAAATAATATATTTCAAAACTATGTTTCAAAATTAATCTGTAGAAAATAAATGAGTAAATTTCATAAAAATAAAAGGTTCCCAGTTATAAGTCGTTTTACATATTTAGTCCTTATATATCAAATATTACTAATTTAGTCCCCAATTATTATATTTATTTCCACGAATGGTCCTTTGTTAATATTTCCGTTAAGAATGTGGATAAAGTTGTAAATTCACATTTCTTTCTCTTCCCAATCAAGCTTCCTCCATCCTTTCACACTCATTTTCCAAACCCGTCGCTGAGTTTGAAGCTTTAAACCCAAAACCAAAATCATCACTCTTCTCTCAATTGTTTGTCTAACTGGTGGAACCCAAATTCGAAACCAGTAATCTTCATGGATGAGTTTTAATGTTTATTTTCTGTGCAATTTTTTTAGACTAACCGATAAAACTCATACATAAAGGTTATTGGTTTTGATTTTAGGTTCTATCAGGAGGACTAATAATTAAGAGAGAAATGATCATTTCAGTTTTAGGTTTAGAGTTTCAAACTCAGCGACGAGTTTGGTAAAGAGTACGAGAGGAGAGAAGAAGCTTAATTGAGGAAAGAGAGAAGTATGAATATATAATTTTATTCATGTTCCTAACAAAAACGTTAACAAAGAACCATTCGTGAAAAATGATATAATAATTGAGGACTAAATTAGTAATATTTGATATGTAGGGATTAAATATGTAAAATGACTTATGACTAGGGACTTTTTATGGAATTTACTCATAATAAATTTATATAAAAATTTAATGTATTTTTTCCGTAATATACAGTCAAAGTTAAAAAAGTTTGACTAAAGTCAAACTAAGAAGATAATTTTGGAACGGAAGAAATATAAATATAGGAGTAATATATTTCAAAAATATGTTGTCAAAATGAATCTATTGACATTGAGTTTACATGAAAATTCAATGTTTTTTCGTAATATACAGTCAAAATTTAAAAATTTTAACCACCAAAGTAAAACTGAAATTTAATTTTTGGACAGAGAAGATATTTGTTTGGGTACCTACGGTGCTCCGTTTGTAAAAACGACGGTTTCTACCCCCCTAACCCTCCCCCTAAACCCCCCACCCCAACCCCACCCTTGCCCCCCCACCCCAGCCCCCCCTCCTGCCCCTCTGGCAGTACCAGCAGTGTACTGCCAGGGTAGGGAGGGGGGCGGGAGGGGGGGCTGGGGTGGGGGGGCAAGGGTGGGGCTGGGGTGGGGGGTTTAGGGGGGGTAGGAACCGTCATTTTTACAAACGGAGCACTATAAGTACCCCAAACGAACTGGTGTAAGCAAATGACACCAGTAGCACTGGTGTCATTTTAGACTTACAGTTAATATTTTATGAAAAAGAAAGGCTAATTGCCAATTGTAGACCTCTTCTCAAACAGCCTAAGGGGCTGTTTGTTTCAGCCTCTTAATGGTTCAGATGTCTGAATGATTCAGCACTTAATGATTCTGACTGTTTGTTTCAGTCTCTTAATGGTTCAGATGTCTGAATGGTTAAGAGATTTGCCTCTGAATGGTTAAGTATTATACAGAGTCTGAATGGTTAAGAGCTGTTATCTGAATTGATCAGACATTTGCCTCTGAATAGTTAAGCAATATACTAGCTCTTAATGGTTCAAACCTCTACTGGTTCTCTACTGGTTGAGCACTTGCCAAACAACCCCTAAATCTATTCCGGCCATCGCCATCCCTGTCTCCAACAAAACACAAAGAGGAAGACCATCTTCATGTCACATTGCCCGGCGCCCAGCAGCTATGCGCGCTACCGCTTCTCTTCTCCTTCCTTTCAAACCCATTCCAAGAAGGCATCTCTCCACAAAGTCTTCATTTGCTCCCCTAGACAAGAGAAAGCCATCAAAGAGAATTAGTCATCTGCGTCCCAAGATTCTCAAAAACCCTCCCGTTCCCATTGAATCCTCACCGCCCCCCACAAACCCAGTTACCCCATCTGAATCCCCTCCGGAGAAATCTCGGGCATTCCATTCCGATGGTGTCGCCGGCGAAGATCCTAATGAGTCGGAAATCCAAGAAGTTTCTGAAAATCTCCGAGAAATTCAAGTCTCCCAGGTTCCTGAACCTAGCATAGTTGTAAACCATGGTAAAGCGCCCACCTTTAACTTTCTATTGTGGTTAGGAGTGGTTATTGTTGCTTGGATATCCTGGCCAGCTTTTTCTGGCAGCGAAGAAGGAGAAAACAGTGGAGAAGACGAAGTGTCGAAAATGGGTGTTGTTGGTAACAGTATTGATACCTCAAAGTTGGAAACTTTCTTGAATGAAAATGGAAATGGTGGGATCAAGAAGAAGATTGAGGAAATTCAGGCCATGGCTAGGGAGGCTAGGGCAAAGGAAAAGCTTGGGGCCGCTGAGAGCAGTGAAAGTGACGATGAAGATGAAGATGAAGATAGCTTTGCTAGTAATCCAATCGGGAAGGAGGTGGAGAATAGATTACTCATGCTGCATAAGCCTTTAAAGAGGAGTAGTGAGAAGCTTTCAGAACCGTTGGACGATAACCCGAGAAGAAATAGCGTAAAGAATGATTTGAATGCTGCATTGTTGTTTAAGAAAAAGCATAAGTTTAGGGATTTTTCAGGTGAACCAAGTCGTAGACCTAAGGGTTTTACGGGTGTGTCTAAACCTGATGAGGAAGAACAAGAAAAAGGCGATGCTTCTATTGGTGAAGGAAAGGCTTCATTGGAAGAAAGGGATGAAAATTCAGGAGTGACTCTAGATGTTGCAAATTCCGAACATGAAACCGGTAATACTCCTGTTTCGCTAGTTATATTTTACAATGACAATGGGAAGTGATACTATTTTTGAAATTCTCAGCCCTTATTTGGTCGCGGGGATGTTGGAGAGGAGGGTCCAAATACATTAATCTATTCTTGCATTTTATTACCTTCCACAAGCCCTACTTTTTGTGGGATTTTAATGGGTGTGTTGTTGATGTATTCTTACATTTAGGGGTGAAGATGAAAAATCAAATAGAAACTCATATGCATTATTTAGCTAAACAGATAGTTATTCACTTATTCTGTAGTTTATGACCAACAGATAGAGAAAAATTAGTAAAACAAAAGGCAATTATCCCTTCCCCTCTAAACCCCCAACAAAACAGGCCTCAAAAGTTACCTGAAATGAAGTGAGCCATGCTCAAGCTGAATGCTTTTACTTCTTCTTTTTCTAATATGTCTTCTTCATGATGGAGGCATGACAGGGACCACTGTGATATCCAACAAAACGAAAAGCTCAAAAACAAATCTCAATGCAAAAAGAGGGAAAGCGATTGAGAGACAGTCGGGCAAGAAATCCAGGGGTACGAAATCTGAAAAAGAAACTAACTTCTGGTGGTTGAGTCTCCCTTACATCCTTGTATGTAATATGATCCACTACCTGCTTTCTAGTTTATAGTTTCTTCCCTTCTTTCTCGTGGCTTCTTTCCTTCTTAGCCCTTTGACTTCTGTTGTTTTTGTACTGCATGGATAGTTTAATAGAATATGCCTGGTCTATGTGGTTCAAATCTGTTTTAGGGTATTTTGGATCCTGGAAAATGCTAGGGATGGGAGAAAATACTGAGAAGAGTTTTTTTTGGTTTTAATGTCTGATTTACATTTGAAGCAGCCAGCACTAGGGCATCCTTTCTGTCCCGTACTCATACATGCCATATGCACATAATTTTTGATATGAATGAATTCAAAATCTTGAGGAACCAATTTGATATCATGAAGCTACATTTCTTGATTCAAGAATTAAGATCTTAAAGTTTTAAAGAGATTTATCAAAGACAGATCAAGGTCAAGTTGAGCTGACCATTGGGAGGCCAATGGTCAGAAGTGGACAGAAGGATTGTTCTGTTAGAGTGTTAGTTCTGATGACACTGGGTATGACAGTTCTGAATTCAGTTATAAAGTCGTGTTTGAGAACAGACAAGTTTAACCTCAGGATATTGAAGACATAAATGCGTCCAAATCACGTAGTTCATAACGAATTTGAATCTTAAATTGGAGTCTACATAGTTGGATCCCAATTTCATAGTCATGGCCAAATTGAATACGAGTAACTGTGTATATTTGATGGATTGTATAGGAAGTTAATCCTATAATATATGCACCTTAATATGCCTTGATATTCATTTTGTTGCAGGTTGTACATATTCATGGATATCTGAATGGTGAAAGACCGCAAGAACAATTCTTCTCCATAAAAAGCAGCTCTGGTGATTCGTCCTATATTGTGGCTTTTGAAGATCATGTTGATGCTACCAACTTCTGCTATTTATTGCAGTCCTATAATGATTTGGAAGACAACAGCCCGGAAATCGTTATAGTATCTATCGATGTGAGAATCCTAAACTCATAAAGTTTACATTTCTTTGCACTCAATCCGAGCTGTTCAATAGAAATGGGGATGGGATCTTGAGAGATTTTTTTTCTACTTCACAAAAAAATAGAATTTGGACTGTTGAGGTCACTTATCTCAACTATCCAATTTCAAAAGGACAGTTGTGCCTTCTTTTGGAATTTGTAACACCCAATCAATGTGATTTTGGTTTTCAGGAACGGGGAGTGAAATCGGGTATGGAAAATGTGATTGTTGTGAGGAAGGGACAACTGAAGCTTTATGCAGGCCAACCACTTGGTGATGTGGAGATGGCCCTGCGCGCGCTGATTGGACAGACTTGAAATGCCAATGGAACTGTAGACGATAATCGCCACTTAAAGCCAGATGATTCGGCTCTAGTTCAAAAAAAAATTGTTTGGTTTTGGTAGTGGCCTTGTAGGGGATATTTCTGGCAGATGAGTTTTTGAGAAAGGAGTGGGTATTGGGTTCCGAAAATCATTTGGCACACAATGAAAATTTGACAGATTCTATACATTCAATTTCTTAGTTTGTTTACAATGATCTCTAGTTCATTTGAACTTGGTGGAGGAATGTGATTTGAAATTGTGTATTATAAATGCACATTTTATTGCTTCCTATTGTCATTTTATTGCTTCCTATTGTCATTTTGTAATATTTATTGCTTCCTATTGTCATTTTGTAATATTGATAATTTGATGTTATATCCACTGCAGTCCCTTTGACACCCATTTTGAGTGTCATAATATGACTCTAAGGCGTTACTGTGCTTTGTTAGACCCAGCCCTCAAATTGCTGATATGCCGTTGTGTATAAACTCTCTCAATCCAGATTGGTTTAGATTCAAATGTGAGTTTGGAATTAAGAATGTAAAAACCAAGGAGGCTTTATTTCATTCAAACACAAAAAAGATGATACTCATAAGTTTGTGGATATGGGTTTGATGTGATTTTAGGAATGTGTTATGATGGCCATTTCTGAAAAGTGAAAATCAAACCAAGATATGAGTTTGAGATATTCAAAATCTATACTTGATTTCAGACAAGTGTTAAACCAAACAACACTAGTGCATGAAAAAAAGAACTGCTGCTGCTTCTTCTGGTTTCTTCAATGTGAAGAAACAAGTTTTACCATGGACTGTGCATGAATTGCAGACAGGTTAGAGCAGCAAAAGCTTTGCCAGGCCTCCTGTTTCTGCTCTTCTTTAGCCGTCACTGCTTCATACAAACAAACAGCGATTCTCCGTGCTGATTCTCTCGCCTCTGGAAGCCTATCATTCAGCAAATCCACTGCAGTCTGAATCGATGGAACTAGCCCGAATTCCGTCATCCCTTCCAGCTCCTATACTCTCTCTCTCACACACACACACACATCAAACCACATTTAAGGTATGTTTGGATCCCAGAAAAATACTACAGAAATGTGAAACATGTAAAAAAAAGGTATTTGATTCTAATTTGTTTTTAACTTGGAAAATACAAAAAAACATGAGACATGATTGTTATCGTAATGGATTGTTACACGAGACATGATTTTGATTGTTACATATAAGAACAAAGTCAACTCTAAATGGGAAAGAAATGGATACCATAATGGAGAAACACTCTGAGATTGAGATTGCAGCTTTTGCTCTGACCCTGGGGTTGGAATGCTTCACATAGGATTGGAGCCTTTTGAGAAGAAGGAGAGGAGTCATGGACCCCACCATTTCCTTGAGCGCCCTGTCTGCTTCTTCACACACAAATTTCTTATCTTGAGATGCTTTCAACAGTAGCTGCAGCAGCTGTAAAATCACACACCCACAGAAAGAAAAAAAAATCAAAATCATGATTATATCAACTAGTTACAATTCATTTTCATCAGGTGAGATTTGATCATCAGATACCACTTGATCAAATGCATCAGATATTTCGGATTCAATCAGCAACTTGTTGCCGAAAGCCTTGAAGATATCAGATGAAGCCATGATTGATGTCTTGCAAAGAGCACTTCTTGGATTCTTCATTGCCTTCACCATCACCAAGAGTACCTTTTTCCTATGTAAATATGTTCATCCATACAAGTTAACATACCTCATTTCCTTTGGATATAGTGTTCGGATTGAAGAAACTGAAATGACTTTCTGGATTTCAATTCTTTGGATTCAAATTACATCTACTTAAGAAGGAATTCAAGAACCAGCGGGCGGTTTGTTTCATATCCAAAACATGAAAAGAGGAACATGGAAACAGATTGCTTACAAGATTGGCTCCAATAGAGTAGAATGAAACAGCGTGAATCTCCTAACATCATTCAGCGATTCGCACACCTTCAACCAGTCCTTCGAATCCAACCGTAGCGCGAGATCCTGAGATTCAACATCATTCTTCATTTCATATTCAAAAAACCATACACCTGTTTTTTTCATTAAAGGTTGCGTAGCAGATTGAATCTAACCTGGATTTTGAGATCCGGATTGGCAAGAGCTTCAAGTTTATCGGAAGGAAGATAATCGACAGCAGCTTCGGGCAGAGGGGGCTTATTTTCATCGTTCAGACCTGAGAAATCAGTCTGGTTCTGAATCTTCTGATTAGGGTTCTTGGTTAGGGTTGCGATTTTGGCAAGCTTTTTGGGCCTCTCGGGGATTACCTGGAGAGCATTATCCAATGGTCTCAGTGCCATTGCGATTTGAATTTCTTCAGAGATTGAAATCCTTTGTCTCCTTTCGCAAGAGGATCGAGAGCGATTAAAGTCTGAAGACTGAGAAGTGGGGAATCTATGGGGGAGATGGGAACTCTTGTAGTCAGTCCGGCAGAAATGGGGGAAGTCCGTTGGTCCAACGGTAAGTTTTGAATTTGAATTTTTAGGTAAAAAATAGAAGAGCCCTTAGATACTGAAAATTAACTTGAAAATATAGATTTTCTCATATTTTTCATGGATTATTATGTGAATACTTCTTTTTCGCAAAAATTAACTTAGAACTTTTGACGTTGTTTTTTTAATATGTAATTTTTATTTCTTATCGATATATCGACTTGTAAATAAAATGATTTCAAAAAGTGAGATATTTCTTCTCGTAAACCCCAATTTATAATCAAATTGGGGACGGAGGGAGTATGATAAAACAAAAAAATACAGTATTGCCATTAGTATAGTATTAATAAATTGAAGGAAGGGGGGCAAAAGAGTGATTTAATAAGTTTGCTTCTTATAGTTGAAAGAAATGTTAGACTATAAGGGAATCACTAATGGGGAGGAAAGCATGAGATTATAGGATGGTGTAGAGGGGTAGAGAGATGAAGGATGATTAGAAAAGAGGAAGAAATAGATGAGAAAAAGAGCATGAGAGAATAATATTCCCCTTGAGAGAGAAGATCCATTATTTTTAAATTTATTTTTACACCAATAAAAATGACATCTATGAGAAAATAATTGAAAAATACTCGAAAACTGATTAGAGTAGAGTGAGGATCAGGATGTTAGTTCCATGATGTTGGCTAATCTTTAGGCAAAATAGAATCCCATATTTGTTAGGTGTTTTACTATGTAGAAACCTCTATTTGTTAGGAGATGTTTATTTTATTTAGACTTCTAGAGTTGCTGCAGTTTTCGAGGTTGGCACAGAAGATGCTACAGCACGATGCTGCAACACAGTGTGCGGGATTAGAGGTCTGAGCACGGGATTTTAAGCTGCAATCTGAATTAGAGACCTATTGGGATTGTGATTACATGATAATAACTCCAGCTGTACATGCTAAGGAATCCCAACACTTTAGGCTACTTATAGATCAAGATTAAAGAAGTTGAGTTCAAGCCAACTTCTACTAACCTATTCCTACTAGGATTGTGTTAAGAGAAGCCTATAAAACGCAGCATGTCCCTGGGAATTACTTGGAGCGATTGAGAGGAAAACAAAGAATATGCGCTGATGTAGAGCATTTCCGTCGCGTCCCGGAGCTTTCCTTGCGCGAAGAAAGTTACGATCTACATGAAGGAGGAGATCTTCAACGAAAAATAGATCGTGACAACCAGGAGGTGAACAAGAGCTTAAGGAGAGGGCTGCCAACACGTTTGTCCTCGTGATCTCGGTGGAGATGTGATAGCCAAAGGGGATCTGTACAAGGTACGGGTTAGAAATCCTAGATTAGAAGTTTTGTCATAACAATTCGGAGAAGTGTATCTCATTATGTTGTTATGTACCGGTGTAACTTGCATCTAGTGATTTAGTGGAGGGCTATTACACGGACGTGAGCCCCGCAGACTAGGAGAATTTGCTCCGAACTGCGTAAACATATCTGGTGTCATTTTTACGCATTTTATAGTTATAGCATTCTGCCCAGTAGGCGCTGTAACACCATCTGCATCATGTGCTTTTGTGTGTGCTTTGTGACAGAGAAGTGTTATAGCACCCTGTCCGTCATCTGTTACTGTGACAGCGATGCAACATCTTCTCTACAGCATAGTCGATTGATTTGTTTGCATATCTTTCAATTGGTGATTTCCGTTGCACCCCACGAACTTACACAGTGATCATTGATGAAGAAAGTATATGACAAAAATGTAGATCTTGTGGCTTATAAGAGAGAAATAACGAGAAATGATTAATGATGATGTAAAGACTATAAAATACGAGTACTAATTTGATAACTTATATTATGGGTGTGAAAATATTTTTTTATGTTTACCTAACATTAAATTTAAAAACTTCATGTTATAGATATCAAAATATATATTTTTTTTCACCAAACACGTCTTTAATAGATATGTACATATTTTAATACACTGATATCAAAATTAAAGTCACTCACATATAAAACGTGGATGAAAGCAATGCCGCAGTTTGAAGAATGGTGGAGAGTGATTGGGACAAAACCAAAAAGGCGAGCAAGTGATAGAGACAACTACATCTGAAAAAACCCTTGACAAATAATACAAAGATCAATACAGACGCATTAGTAGGACTTGTTGACATAGCTTCGGGTATTGGACTAATTGTCAGAGATTATGACAGTCACTTTATTGCAGGAAAAAATAAATGTCTTAGAGAAACTTATGGAGCGAGAGAGGCAAAAGCAGTTGCTATGAAAGAGGCTTTAAGGTGGATACAGTTCATGCATTGTGAGAAAATCATTGTGGAGACTGATTGCATGCATGTGGAGGTCGCTTTGAATAATTCTAATACGGATTGGTCTTATTTTGATTCTATCATTGACGATTTTAAAAGTCTACGTGATTGATGAGGACTTGCAGTTCGTTTTGCTAATGTGACTGCACATGTATTAACGCGAGCCTCATATTATTCTCAGAGCATAAGTGTGTGGGTTGATGTACCTACAAACTTTATTTTTAAGGAGTATTAATCTAATATAATCTGGTTTGCAACGGAAATCGTTATAGGAGTATTAATCTAATATAATCTGGTTAGAATCTGCACATGTATTAGCGGAGTACTCCGTATTATTTTTTTGTTGGAAAACTTTATTAAGGAGTATTAATCTAATATAATCTGGTTTGCAACGCAGAGGATGTCCCAACAAAATGTACCACTAATGTAGTTTATAAAGAGGTTTTTCAAAATTTGTAATTTATAGATACTCTGCAATACTAAAAAAAATATTATATTTCATTATATGTTGTATTTTTTTCCTTTTATAATGATACCAATGTAAATTCACAACGTAATTGCGACTCGTCCAACGCACGGGTGGGATACTAGTTAATCTTTTTTTTTGAAGGATTGTTAATCTAATATAATCTCGTTTTCAAAAAAAAAAAGAAGAGCCACAACCGGTTCATAGACCGGATCAGTAGTCGGTCCAGAAACACCCTACAGGTTCGGCCCTTCCGGTTTCTGTGTTCCCCGACCTCGTTCCGTCGTGTTTCACCTTTCTCTTCTCTTTTTTTTTGCATCAAAATTTCAATAATAATCTTCAAGAGCATCGAGAAATGGCGTCGATCAACCCTCAAGACGTCTAAATTGGAGCCCTTTACGGTCGGAAATTGCTTCCCTTCACCGAAGAATGGAACGAAATCCATACCCGAACAGGCAGCATCACCATCACAGGGCGTTCGGCGGCGGAGGGGGTCCGAGTCCGGTGGAATTGATGCCGGCGAGACAGGCAGCTCCGCTATCGCAATCGCAGATGCAAATCTCCGATAACGACGAGAGCAGCAGTGAGGTTCCCGCGCTGGATTGTAACCTTACTTCCCTATGTGATCACATCCAACTGGAGGGATTCAACAGTGGCGCATTCTCCGACATTGTCGTTCAAGCCATGGGGTCTACCTACCACCTCCACCGCCTCATACTCTCCAGGAGCTCTTACTTCAGGTACCAAACTGGCTCTCATTTTAATCCATTGCACACAATAGTCTTGGTTGAATGATGTATCTGAATTCGGGTTGTGCTGAGTGCTCTAGTTTCTTCAGTTGATCCATTAAAAATTCTCTTACTTCTGTCTTTATATGAAATGTGCGCCTTTAGTGTTTTGTTATGTTTAATTCATTCGTTTTTGCTTATTTCAATTCTCTGTGTAATTATTTGGTTTGTAGGAATATGTTGCAGGGACCATGGAAAGAAGCAAATGCTCCGGTTCTGAAGTTTCATGTGGATGATAATAATGTCAATGGGGAGGCTATAGCTTTGGCTCTTGCTTATCTGTACGGGCATCACCCAAAGCTTAATGATAATAATGCGTTTCGAGTTCTTGCTGTGGCATCCTTTCTTGACCTTCAGGCATGCACATCAAAACCACACTTGATTCTTGTTTTTTTCCATAGTAGCTGTGATATTGATACAAAAGTCTAATTGTTTAATTTGTGCCTGAAAGTAGCTCTGGCTTATTAATTGATAACAACCATCTGTCTGCCTCTCTTCCATTACCGAATAAAAGAGTTCCCGTGGTAATCGCAAAGTGGTTATAGCCTTATAGGTCAACTGCAAACAGCACTAAAGACATTATTCTTCAAGAGTTTTAGTTAACCACGAGCTTTATTCTTTTCGTTTAAGCTAATATTTAGTTTGTGGTCTTGTTCTTGTGTTCTTGAGCAAGTCATTCTTAAATTTCATGGTATGATGAAAAGTTTAGTACAAGAACAGTAAAGGTTGAGGTGCTACAGGTTAAGTTGACATTGGTCCCAACATTTCAGTACGCTCAAGAGCTCATAGCATGCCAAAAATAGTTTCCTTTTTTAGTTGATGGTCTCATTTTCAATGCAGGATTTATGTGCAATATGCACAGACTATATTATTTCTGAGCTATGGACATCAAACTTCTTAACATACCAGGTTCCAGTTGCATTTAAACTGATCTCTGATTATTTTCAAACCATTTGTATCTTTATTTTGAGACTTAACCATGTAAGCCTATGTTCCAGGTGTTTGCTGAGAGCCAAGATTATGGAATATATGGAGAGCGAGTTAGAAATGCTTGTTGGGGATACCTTTGTCAATGTGGTGCCATGGAGTTAAAAAAGGTAAATGACAAGTTTGTACAACATTCTACATGGGGTTTTTTTTCAATCTTAGACAAAACCTTCTCTCCTATGAATTGTAATTATTGTACCTTGTGTTTGGAGGTATATGGATGCATCTAGAAGTCTACCGTGTGTTTTAACCTTGTTTTTTCTGACAAGGCTGGACATCTAGCTGCTGCATCGTTTTTTATAATTCTTATTTCTAAGTGAGGTGATATGTTGCACTATGACATAGGGAAATATTGCTCTAGACCTGAAGTTATATTAAACCTTGTTGTAAGTGTTAAACTCGTTTCGGTTAATTGATTGTGTTCTGTATCCTGTGAATATCAGGTCCTTCCCAAACTTTCATCTCAGACATTGCATACTTTGCTGACCTCTGATAAATTGTGGGTACCAAGTGAAGAGGAACGGTGAGAAAAAATATTCCTTCTTTGTGTGAGCCCATCTTGCTTGTTCTCTTTTGTTTTCATTACTCTCTTTGAAAGCTTACAAGCAATTTTCTTTTGATTTAATGCATTTACAGATTTGAGCTGGCATTATATAGTCTTCTCGCAAGAGTCAATCTTTCCAACATGGAGCATCATGGGCAGGGAAGGTCTAGTTCTGATACAGGAACAACTACGCATTGTGATGCTCTTAGAGTGAAGGCTAAAAACTTACATGATGGCAGTACTGAGAAAAGGACAGAACTTGAATTAAGGAGTCTAAGCTTAAAGGATGGAAAAGGACACAATACTGCACACAATATTCCAATCGAGCTTGCAGACTACACTGTTGTATCAATCACTGAGGGGCATAATAAACAACAGTTGCAAGAACCAGTGTGCATTCAAACCAACTTGGAATCTGGATGCAGCACTGGGCATGCTTTATCAAGTAACTCTTTTCTATGTACTGATGATGAAGCCATATCCTCATGTTCTATTGTTAAAATGCCAAACAGTAGTGGCGAAGATGGGCTGGGGAGTGATGGTATGGCTGTTTTGGAAGGGCCATCTGAAGAAGATCCATGCTATCAATTAAACGACACATCTTGGCTGCCTGAGGGCCAAAGCAGTCTCACTTCTATGACTTCTTCTGCTGATGTGCTTATGCCTAGTGACTGGGGAAGATGTAACATGCCTCCCCTATCTTGGGGTGGTAGGGTTGTGGGGCGAAGAGAGACAAAAACTTTCTTAAATGGACAGTATGGAATTAGCCGGGATGATTATGATGCCTTTGTGAATATTTTTGAGGGAGGATCTCTTTTGTATTGTAACATGTCTTTTGAGGCACTTCTCACTGTGAGAAAGCAGCTTGAAGAAATGGGATTTCCTTGCAAAGCTGTGAATGATGGGCCTTGGCTGCAGGTAAACCTGTTATTTAATTTTGTGCTTGGTGGTTGAGCGTGTTGCACTCTAATACGCGGGGACTCTAATCTCTTCCCTTTTCCTTTAAATTTGGATTTTTTTTGGAAAGCATAAGATTTTTTCTATTCAAAGTTGAAGAGATTAAAAAAGTGGAGAATGTTTTTTTTCTTACAAATTTTGTAAAACGATGAACAAAACATGTTTTCTGTTTTCTTTAATCAAGATCTTCTAAAAACTAGAAATCATTTTCAGTTTAAAAGCAACTATTAACATCATGACATTTTTTTCTCCAAAATATAGTGGTTGCATGCTAAACATTGGAACTCCACATAATAATGCAAATTAATATGCACTTAGTTTACTTTGCAGTTTTAATTTAAGTTGTAACCTTATTGTGTCATACCCAAAATGATACAAAATTAACATTATTGTGAAAAGAGCACTAAAAAACCGTGATGCCATTTTCACACAACTAAATTCTTTGTCTCGAATAGCTTTTTGGTCTATATGTTTCTTCTGTTTTTAAAGGGGCAAGGTTCTTTAGAAAAAAGGGGCAAGGTTGCATGCATCTTGACTCCCCCCTTACCCTGTCCATCAAGACCCCAACATAGATGGGATTATTTTGGGTTCCTTGCATGCTTTTACTGATTGATTTTATTTGTTTGTTTATTTATTTATTTTTCTATTTTACAAGGTGCGTCCATTGCCAACAGAGCTAAAAGAGTCATTTTTTTTCAATGTTTTAGCTTCGAGTAAATAATGACTAAACCAAAATGGCAGAGTTATCTTCCCTTGCTTCTTACTTTCTACCCCATATGTGTTGCATCTTGACGACTTGACCCACGAACCTTAATAGAGCTGGAATTTTAGTGGCTTTGTTGTTGGGTTCATTTTTACAATGATCTTTATGCATATGCTGTAGATGCTATTAAGCCAGCGAGTACGAGAAATCGGGGCAGATACATGCAAAAATTGCTGTCTTGTGAGTATGGCGTGTGCCTGTAGGCAAGCATTTGGGCCTTCATGCAATGTTGGTGGGTATTACATGGCAGATCATGATCAGGGGAATCTGCCTACGAATGCTGGATATGTGTACGCCAATGAAGGAATTGGTCTCTTTAGGCCTGTGCGCATTCATGTTAGGGGCCCCCTTGATGGGCTAGCTGGAATCGGGCGTGGAAACACTTTTGTTCCTGCTGCTGCCAGTCCTCCAACACGTTTTGTCTTCTCTCGTGTCCCATTTGGGGTGGGTAATGATGACCCAGAAAACAGAGGGGACAACAACACAGATATTGCTGGTGACGGGTTGACAGCTTTGGTTGGGCTCAGCCAGGAGGGAAGCAGTATTGGGTCTACTGTTCGTGTGGATCAGTTAGAGAGGGGTTATGAGGTGGATCTCCAGAGCAGGATGGTGGGGTCTTCAATATCTGCACCTAATGTTAGTAGTATACCCACACAAATGTTAGATTCCTATGGGAATGCTGCTGGGTTTGAGTGGGAGAATGACAACAGTTCTATATCTTTGGATGTGAAGACACCTTTAAGTCAATTTCCTCCATTCCGGTTTGGGTAAGCTATATCCTTTGATGGCATTTCTGCTCAAAGTAGTTAGACAGTTACATGCATGTATAGATGCATCACGCTTCTTTTGACACCATGTTTTGGTGTCATAATATGACACCGAGGCCATTTGGGGTCTATAGGGCTCTGTTGAGCCCCAAAGCGGGTCCTAGACCATGTTCTCTTCACCTGATGTGAATGGTTCTGATCTGATTCGAATAAATTCTGATCTGGTATGATCTGATGTGAATGTAGCTATATTTTAAACTATTTCTGATGTGATCTGGTTTGATCTGGTTCCAATAAGAAAAAGTAACAAGTAGTAAGAATAATTTGAAGAGAACATGGCCCTACCCCTAATCCCCTCACACACCCCCACCCTACCCTAACCCCTTCCCCCCCGATCGACACTGATAACCCTCAATGTTCCCAATTGGCTTCAGCTGCCACCTCCCTTGGGTGATGAATACCTCCTTGCTGATCCCATCCTCCATGGCCCTGAGTCCATCAGAACACCATAGGACCCTCAAATGGCGCGGTATCATAATTTAACACCCGACACCGATGTAAAATAGAAATGTGCCGATATTGAATATGATTTGCTGTTTAGTGAATAGAAAGGTGATCTGCTCTAGGACTAGGAGGCTAAACATATAGTGGGACTTTGCCAACCACTTTTTTCCTTCTTATCATCCCTTTCAGTCGGATTTATTTTTAACCATACACAACAAGATTAGCATAATCCGAACTCCATTGGGGCCTGGAGGGTCAAGATGACACAACTTTAGTCCTGTAAATAGAGTCGTTTTTGTTAGACCCTTGATGCAGTGTTGCATTTACTTCCCAAATCTTCATTGAAAGTAAAAAAGCAAGGGAAGTTTAATGTGCTATTGTGCTGTTTTGACTTAGTCCATTAGCTAATCAAAGCTAAAACACTGTCAAAAGGGCTGTTATAGCTCCATTGGCAATAGATGGAACACTAATTTATCTTATTGTGCGTGTTGAATTCCTTAATAAGTAATAACAAAATGGCAGGACAAAACATTTTTTGGCTGAAGTTGTTGAAGTTGCTGCATTTGATCATTTTAGCAGTTTTTAAACTAAAATTTTTCTTTATTTATCAATACCAAGAAATTTTAGCCATACTCTCCATTACTAAATTGGGCTCTTATTTCTGTTTCTGAAATGACATTATGAGATAGAAATAGAATTTACTTGCTGTGAGATTGGTATTGGTAATATTTGGTGACTCATGGTTTTACTAGATCTAATACATATTGGGAGTGCTTACTCTCAGGTGCTCTCAATATTCATCCTTTTTTTTAGATCAAAGTTATTTCTGGTGTTTTCTGACAATTTGAAATGCTTCCACAGGGTTGAATTTCAAGATGTTCTCAGGCTTAATGATGGTCAAGTGAATAGTTCACCTGAGTTTTTCTATGCTGGTTTCTTGTGGAAGGTATATGATTGCCATCCAGTGACTCTTCCAGTTTTCATTGTTTTGTGTCTCCCGGTTTCACTAGGATGTTCCATTAGCATAATTGTTGATTTCCTAGTTTTTTTATTTCAAATTTTCATCTGTATCGACCCTATCAATAATCTTGCTCTTTTTAACCTTTCTACTAAATATATCTCTAACTGCCCCAAACCTAAAAAAAATCCAGAATAGACAAAACTTCCCATACCCATCATTTCTTTGTAATTTTTCTCTTCAACTGGAATGAATCATTGTCAGTAATTTTCATCTCTTTGCTTAAGTAAAACCTAACATCAATAACAACATTAGTAGGAATTATTTGTGGCCATGGAGAAAAAATTCTAATTCTCTGTGGCTTTAATTTTATATAGGTCAGTGTCCAGGCTTTTAGTGATGAAGATCTGCAGGGACGCCGTACACTTGGTTTAAATCTTTCTTACTCATTATGTAAATCTAAAAGCCATGTTGCTGTCTATCTTTTTAAGTATTTGCTATTTTCTCAGGGCTTTTTCTTCATCGACGAAAGGCTGAAATATGCGACCCAACTAGAAAGGTGACCCGTTTTCTTGCTGCTTGCATGATTTTAGCATGCAAGGCTTGTTGAGTTATGGAAGCTACTTTCTATTTAAAGAAGTTTTTCCAAACTGTAATGCCTTTTTACTTATTCCAGGTGCACGTATATGTTGATTCCCGCGAAAAGGTCACTACTAGGTACCAGGTGAGTCATCATTCCAACATTATATTTGGCTACATACCCAAAATGACCCTTTACTTTTCAAGTGTCCAATTTAGGGCCTAAATAACAATGAAGTTCATGAACTTCAAAAGTTCTGACTGACTTTAGTTATGCAGAATAAAAAAATACTCCATGTGTCCCAAATTAATTTGCTCACTTTCATTTCTCATAGATTAAGAAAAACATTGAAAAAATGTTGAATATTGTTTGAATTTGTTTAGAAGAAAAGAGAAATATTTTGGACCATATATTATTTTCTAAAACAGGAAAGAGAAAATGAGAATTATTTTGGGATGGATGAAAAGGAAAACTAGAAAAACTTTTTTGGGACAGGGAAAGTACATTATACGGGGTAAATCCTGATGCCCATTTGAGTTGATGTACTGTGTTTTCGGCTAAACTAGAAAACACCTATGTTTAGTATATATTAGTGCAAAAAAAGAAACTAAGAAGGGACATTCTGGTAGTTGATTTGCCCATGCAAGAGGGAAGTGAGGGTGTTTGGGAGCTTCAAACAAACCGGAACTCTTCTTCCAAAAGCTCCAAAGGGATGGGGTTGGCGATCAGCTTTGTTGTTTGACGAACTTCCTGATCTTCTCCAAAATGGGGCACTACGTGTTGCTGCACTTGTACAGCTCATTTGATTCTCGCTCCTTAGCTACAAACGCCCAGCAAGATTCAATCACCAAAGATTTTCATGTAAATAATGTATTTCTCTGCACACTTTTGGTCACACGACTATAAGGTACATTGCTCTCTAACTTTCATATTATCCATTTTTGGCGCACAACTGGATTTTATTTTTGCCGCTTTTAGTCCTATGTCACATAAATGTGACTTGTTTAGTCAGAAGGACCAAAAAGTGGCAAGGAATCCGTAGTCGTGCCTCAAAACTGGACGAAGTGTTTAGTTTCGGAATCAAACTTGCGAATGGCCCGACAGTCGTGGTTCCAAAAATGTGTCTTCCCAAAAGAAGTTAAATTATGTATAGTTTGCCACATTGAATGACAACTCAATGGTATTGTGCCTAAATGGTGCAGTATGTGTGCAGTATTTGATTTTGTTACTTTCTGCCATTGCTTTTGACCAGATTTTCACTATTGTGTTGAAGGGGTAAAGTTCAAGGTAGGGTGCTTCTATCATGAAACTTTAGATCCTCATAATAATATGGAGTATGAACTTTTTCACATAAATAACTTAATAAAAAAGTTGCATACTTTTCTATCATAGAGTATTCATCTAGTTTGATTTTTTAAAATCATACTAGACGAATTTTGATCAACAATTATATTAAATTTTCATTGTATATTAATTAATACAATAAAATAATTTTTTGGTAGTTTTTTTCAAGATAAATTTGAATAAATGTACAAATATCCAATTGAATTTTTATTTAATTGATGATAAAAGTTTGTTCAGTTTGACTTGGAAAAAATCAAAGTAAACAAATGTTCTATGATGGAAATAGTAAATGTTTATCTTAGCCATATAAGAATGTTTAAATACTCCGTAGCTATTAAGAATGTCCTTGAATTGATGTGCAAATTTTGTTGTTAGTAATGTGTGATAGTTTCAATTATTATTGCAAATAAAGAACTTCTGACATGCCTATGGATTTCTCGAAAGTTTGACATGCTCTGGAGTATAAAATATTAGTGTGTATATTGTAGATAATAATAATAATACTCCGTAATAATAATAATAACAATGATAATAATATTGTTATTATTATCATCATCATTATTATAGAAATGATAACTCTTAATGCTTAAATATGTTAAGAAAATATGTATGAACATACTCCGTATAATACAATTGCAATTGGATTATTAGTGCTCAGAAAATAATACAGAGTATGGAGTAATAATAATAATGAGAAAGTGAACATGTGGAAAGTATGAAAAGTATAACTCAGGTCCAAATCCGAGCAAAAGTTGAGGTATTATGCGTTATCATGCTCAAAAAGTATAAACAGATACGAGTATTACATTGTAATCCAATAAATAACACGACAGAATGTGTGATTAAGAAAAATATTAAAATAATAGGGAGTAGAACTTTTCTACTTTTGAAAAGGTATAGCGGCTTGTAGAAATCATCAAATGTACTACAATTATATTTTATTTATCGTTAGTTTAATATCTAACCTTTTTATGCACTTTTTAAATTGAAAAGAGGATATAATAAAATTAACATTTTCCCTTCAAATTGCTCTTTTTTTAGACAAAAAAAATTGTTTTCCTAGAGGATATATCCAAAAGTTTTTCAAGAAACACAATATTTTTTTAATTTGACTTTTTCAAATTGAATTGAATGAACTTTAATAACCAATTACATTAAATTTTTACTTTAAATATTTATAAAATGAAGTCAATTCTTATAGTTTTCCGCAAGACAACTATAACCAAATGATTTATATACTACTCCGTACTTTTCAATATATTTTTTATTTAATTGATGACCAAAATAAAGTTCGTCTAGTGCCCCTAATTTGACTTGAAAAGTCAAAGTGGACGAATACTTTAGGGTAAAGGTAAAATTGTTTTAATGCCTCCCACAAATAGCATTTTGGCCTTAAGGGCATAAAAATACTAAAAACTCACTAAATTTGACATCAAGTGTTTAACAGACACAAGCGTCACGAAAAAGACTCTCTATATATGCGTGCGAAAGACTTAATATCAAATCTAGTGAGTTTATAACATGATTCTTAAGGGTATATTTTGAGCACAAATCAACATGCAATGGAGGCAATCTCGAAAACCTATATGCCAACAAAAATGTGTCGTTATTTTAAAAAAATAATTCAACCAAATGTAAAAAAAAAGTGACGTGATTTCAAAAATTACTCCAACTAAAGTTTCAACTAAGTGTCATTTTAAAAACTTTCCATGGGTACTTAATTCTTGCTCTTGCATAATAACATTGTACGGTTCTAGGAATTCAAAAGAAAAAAGAAAAGGAAATGATAAAGAAAAGTAATTTCGGTGTTTGGTTAGAATGGAAAAGAAAATCTACCGAAAAAGTAAAGCAGAATAGAAAATGTGATTTTCTTTCCCTCTATTTTTGTGATGAAAAGAAACAAAAAATAAACTACAAACTCCGCCGTCCCTCCCCCCAACATTTTTTTCGTTCTTTCGTAAGTTCTCAAACCAAACACAGTACTCCATTCCTTAACATTTGATTTTTCCTTCCTGATTCCCGGAACCAAACATAGTATAAAATGACCAAACCAATGAAAACTTGGGAACAAAAAGACCCATTTGGGAGTGTGGCATAGTGCACAACTTGGAGGTGCATGAATCTTGTGCATGTCCTGCAGCATCCATTATAAAATCAACAAAGGGTTAGTAGTAGTAGTAGTACTATATGTACGTTTGTTTCATACTCTAAATATAATTATGGCCCTTGATATTGTCACCATCTTGACACAGTCAATGCCCTGTTTGGTTGTATTATTATTATTTCTTACCTTCTCTCAGCATAAATAAAAAAAATACTTAATGGTTTACAACTACTGCCCCTGCTGCAGAGATTATTAGTATTATTTTGCTAATAAAATCCTTTGTTTTAGAATTTTAATTTTCAATTTGCAGACTTTATGTTCTCATGGTGAAGTTTATAAGAGCAGCAGCAATTCATAGTTTCAGCTGGTTTCCCATCTCTGGCTGCAATTAGCCAAGTAGACAAACACACCTTTTGATTCTGATTACTCCAGAGGTACTTCTTCATTATATGCATTTTTTTAAAGTTCTTTTTAAATTGCTTTTTTAAAAAAGGGTTCTTTTTTAAATTAATTATTACTCCCTCTGTTTTGATTTTGTTAACATTTTTTTCCCAGGGCATCTGTACTTAACCTTCCACTTAGCACATTTAGTACACAATTGATTCTGAATGGTCAAAAACACCCCTAAAGAACTAATTTCAAGATTTTTTTAAATTTCATTTTACTGATGCTCCTTAAATTTGAGATATTTTGGAAAGTGTACCACAAAATCTGGGAAAAAAGGAGTATTTAACAGGTTCAGAGATGACTTATCTGCATAGGAAGTTGATGTAGAATCTGCACTATTAGAGTCTTTTCTTGAAGTTCTTGATTTTCTTGAACTGAGAAAGATGGAGTTTTTCTGCTTCATTTGACACCAATATTGTCTTTTTGGTACAGGAGATTGGTTGGTGGGGAAAGGCAAAGTATTCATCAGTGTGGGCTTCAATCATGTCTTTTCCTCCATGGCTCTCTTCTCTTGAGTGTTCATCTTCTGCAATTATTGACTCTTCCAAACACTCCTCATCCTTTCTCACCCTCTCAATCCAATGGCTGAGATTCATTTTCCTGTCACCATGTCCCCAGAGACTCCTCTTTTCAGCCGTTGATCTCGTCTTCCTGCTCACCCTAGTAATGCTAGCCATCCAAAAGCTATGCAAGAGGTTCATATTTAGGAGGAGAAACAAAAGATCATATGAGAATGGATTTGAGAGGCCACACAGCTTCAGAGCCAACTTTTGGTTTTATCTATCTTTGGTTGTCACTTCTCTCTTGGCTTTAACTTATACCAATCTTTGCATATTCACATTCCTCAGAGGTGTCAAATCCAAATGGGATATCATAGAAGCCATGTTTATGTCACTTCAAGCCCTCACTCATATAGTGGTCTTCGTCCTCGTCGCACTCGAGAAAAGAAATGGGGCGGGTGATCATGCAGTGCCCGTTCGGGCATATTTCGCAGCAGATTTTTTGGTTGTGTGTCTGTTTGCTGCCTCTTCGGTTATCCGATTTGTCCATTTCGGGTACCAAAAGGATTCGAAGACGAGCGTGGATGATTTGGTTTTCTTGGGAGCCCTCCCTCTCTGTGGATACCTCTTTGTCCTGACCCTTCGTGGATCGACAGGCGTCGTCATCGGCACGAACCGGGAGGAGGGTCCCACTGACGTGAGTGGATATGCAACTGCTTCATTGCTGTCGAAGGCGGTGTGGAATTGGATGAATCCCTTATTGAGTCAGGGATATAAGTCCCCTCTAACGAGCGACCAAGTCCCTTCCCTTCCACCCGATCTCCGGGCAGAGCGGATGCGACAACTCCTGGAAAAGAATTCGCCCAAACCTGCAGGTCATGGCGCTACTACTATTACCACTACCACTAAACACCCGGTATTTAAAGCGCTAGCGAGGTGCTTCTGGAAGCAGTTTTTCTTCACGGGTTTCCTCGCGGTGGCGCGTTTGGGCGTCATGTATGTGGGCCCACTCCTCATAGACAGTTTTGTCACATTCACTTCCGGGGACAGGACAAGGAACCCTTACAAAGGGTACTACCTAGTGATGGCCCTTCTGTTGGCAAAACTGGTAGAAGTCATGACCTCCCATCACTTCAATTTCCACACCGCGAAACTTGGGATGATGATCCGCAGTTCCTTAATAACAACATTGTACAAGAAAGGCCTGCGTCTGTCTGGCTCCGCAAGGCAGGCGCACGGTGCAGGACAGATAGTGAACTACATGGCGGTCGACTGCCAGATCATCGCTGACATGGCACCACAGATACACGCCATGTGGATGACCCCCTTGCAGCTCGCGGCCGCCTTGCTCCTCATATACATCTACATCGGCATCCCGGTCGTCGCGTCCCTAGGCGCGGTTTTTGTCCTTACCGTCTTCACTTTCCTCGTCACCCTCGCGTCAAACCTCTTCCAGTTCCATCTGATGCAGAATCGCGACGCGAGGATGAAAGCCATAAATGAGTTACTCGCGAACATGCGCGTGATCAAGTTCCAAGCATGGGAAGAACACTTCAGCAAGAAGATAGCCGCGTTGCGCGGGATGGAGTTCAAATGGCTGAGCAAAATCATGTATGTGATGGCCATGAACTTGTCGCTCCTATGGAGCATACCGAACATCATTGCCGCCCTGACATTCACGGCGGTGGTTCTGTTCAGAGTCCCTCTTGATCCCGGCACGGCTTTCACGGCGACAACAGTGCTCAAGATTCTGCAAGAACCAATCAGAACCTTCCCCCAGACGCTCATTGCTTGTGCACAGACATTCACATCACTCACCAGGCTTGATGCATATCTGACAAGCCCGGAGTTGGACAATGAGTTTGTGCAGAGAGGAGGAGGAGGAGAAAGTTGCGGAGTTGCGGTTGAAGTGAAAAATGGGTACTTTTCTTGGGAGGATGATGAAGATGAGAAGAAATGTGTGTTGAGAGATATAAACTTTGAAGTTAAGAAGGGGGAGCTTGCAGCCATTGTTGGAACAGTGGGATCAGGGAAGTCTTCCTTATTAGCTTCGGTTCTTGGTGAACTTCATAAATCATCAGGAGAGGTCTGTGAATCATTCTTATAAACACTTTGAGTATGAAGTACACATTAATTAATTATATACATACTCCCTCCCTCCCAACAAAAAAAAAAGAAAAAAAGCCCCTATGGTTGAGTGGATGTAGGACCAACTTGGTGATTTTGGAGCTGCTCACCCGGTTTCGATCTTCAAGAAAACATGGGGAGGGGAATTTTTAAGAGAGTTCTAAAAAGGGAATAGTTTGGGTTATAAAAATGAAGGGTTTAAGTGGGCTTTATGATCATGCTTGGTGTATACCAGTCTTTTTTTTTGCATTTCAAAGGCAAAATGAAGCTAGTTTTTAGCAATTTAATGTTTTTTTATGAAAAGAAAAAAGAAAAGAAAGTGATTCAAAACATTCATATATATGATTGCAGGTAAGAGTGTGTGGGAGTACAGCTTACGTGGCGCAAACCTCATGGATACAGAATGCAACAATTCAAGACAACATCTTGTTTGGTTCACCAATGGACAGGGAAAGATACAAGAAAACCATACAAGTTTGCTCTTTGGAGAAAGACTTGGAGGTTCTGGAAGAAGGCGACCAAACAGAGATTGGAGAAAGGGGAATAAACCTGAGTGGCGGACAGAAGCAGAGAATTCAACTGGCCAGAGCTGTTTATCAGCACTCTGATGTTTATCTTCTTGATGACGTCTTTAGTGCTGTTGATGCTCATACTGGCTCTGAAATTTTCAAGGTACACTCTCTTTCTCTCCTGCACATTGGTATGGGGTAAAAAATAAATCACAAGTGCACGAACGTGTTAGAGTATAAAACTTTTCTTAGATCATAAGCTAGGAGTGGCATCATATAATATAAGAGTGGGGTTCTTTTGATACCAAAGGCTCGTGTCACAATATAACATCGGTCCATTTAAAAGTCCAATGATGTTCCATTTGACTCCAATGTGTTTATATCCCTAACCCCCACAGACCCCATAGCCTGCCCGCCCGGCTGCCCCTGCCCCTCAATATTTGAAAGTCCATTGTCACCTAGGGTGGAAGCCAGGTAGGGCACGTGCCATCTTGATTCTTGAGGCAATTCCGACAAAGGTATCCTGAAGTGATTTTGGCAAAAGTGTCCTCCGTACTTCAATGATTTCAGTGTTGTGGTGTCCCCCTAGAACGTATCCCTGCCTTTGCCACTGAATGTCATTTGTGACCCATGTGGAGGCTTGGGAGCATGGTGGACTAGGAGGTTTTGTGATGGATTAAGGAGTTAAAGAACTACTTCAGAATCCAAATCAGTACCATAGGACCATCAAATGGATTGGTGTGATACAGGTTGGGTGTCAAGAAAACTCCAATGATAATATAATTATGACAATAGAAAATCTTCTCAGTTCATCCAGTACAAAAGTATTGACTATACTCTTTTTTTTTCTTTTTTTTGCAGGGATGTGTGAGGGGAGCTTTGAAAGATAAAACAGTACTCCTCGTAACTCACCAAGTTGATTTCCTACACAATGCTGATCTTATACTGGTATTTCAATCATCATATATCTAGAAATGTGTAATTGAATTCAATCTTTTTAGTGTGATTTAATAATTACTGGCATATGCAAATTGTAAAATCACCTCTTTAGCTGGATTTTATTATGATCATTGGATCACTTTCAGGTGATGCGAGATGGCATGATCGTACAATCTGGAAAGTACCAGGAGCTTCTAGAATCTGGCATGGATTTCGGAGCTCTGGTAGCTGCACATGAGAATTCCATGGATCTGGTGGAAATGACAACAGCATCTGCCTCAAAGAAAAGCCTCCCCAAATCGCCGCCACGGCACCAACAGTCTCCTCCCAGATCACCGCCGGCGGTTCATAAATCCGGCGATCAGCCGGAACCAAACGACGACCAGCCCGGCGGCCCTAACTCGAAGCTGGTGGAAGAGGAGCAGAGAGAAACAGGACACGTGAGCTTCGACGTCTACCGCCAATACGCCACGGAGGCGTACGGGTGGTGGGGAGTGGCGGCAGTGGTGGTTTCGTCACTTCTGTGGCAACTGGCACTGATGGCAAATGACTATTGGCTCGCGTACGAAACCTCGAGCCCCAATGGCTTCAAACCTTCTCTGTTCATCATCGTATATTCCGCCATTGGAGGCTTTCTGTTCCTGCTTGTCGTTCTCAGATCGTTCGTTGTCGCCGCTTTAGGGTTGAAGACATGCCAGAGCTTGTTCAATCAAATCATTGACAGCATCCTCCACGCTCCCATGTCCTTCTTCGACACAACTCCCTCCGGAAGAATTCTCAGTAGAGTGAGTATACAAAACCCTAAGTTCCATTGTTATCAATCCTTCCATTTTTGAGATCTATAGTTCCACAATTTCTATCAATTCAGGCATCATCCGATCAATCCATAGTCGATTTCATCATTCCATTGTTCATGAGCACATCACTGGCGATGCTCTTCACAGTGATCGGCATACTGATCGTCATGTGCCAGAACGCTTGGCCCACTGTATTCCTTCTCGTCCCTCTCATCTGGCTTAATCTCTGGTACAGGGTAATGAAATCTCCCAAATCGAATTCCCTACTTCAATCGATTCCATTTATTTCGAATTTTATTGATAAAAAAAAAACAGCAAAATCGAATTCACCTTTCACGTAATTTCAGAAATATTTCATCTCGTCGTCACGAGAACTGACCCGGCTGGACTCGATCACGAAAGCCCCGATCATCCACCATTTCTCGGAGACGATTTCTGGAGTGATGACGATACGTTGCTTCAGAAAGGAGGAGACGTTCTTCCAGGGGAACGTGGAGAGGGTGAACGCAAACCTGAGGATGGATTTCCACAACAATGGATCTAATGAGTGGTTTGGCTTTCGGCTCGAGTTCATTGGAAGCTTCTTGCTCTGCGTCTCCACCTTGTTCATGGTCATGATGCCCACCCACGTTATTGGATCAGGTGACATTTTACATGCTCTCTTTTATTAAATGCCACCGAACCAAACCTAAACCGAAATAATTTGAGCCAAAATTGAATTCAAATGTGCTGGGGACGCACCATTTTTGACATTGTTGTGTCACATTTTTCTCTGAGACACAACGCTGTCAAATGCGTTGTCACATGTATTCTGCCTCTAACTTTTTTCAAAGTGAACGAAACCGAAATTGAATCATAACCGAAGCATGAAATGAGAAGTGAATTGTTAGAACTTAGAATGTGTGCTTGTCTACTCAAATCGATATATACTCGAACTATTATATACCTAATCTGGTATGCACACTAAATCAAGTATACATAGAATCATATTTGAATTAAACAATAATAGAATCAAACAACAAAATTTAGAGAAATATATTAAATCTGCACAAGAACAAAATCAGACTAAACTATCTCGAAATTCTCAATGGAATAAGTTAGATCTCGAGTTGAACTGATTGACTCGTTTGTCAAATTTGTGTATAAGGCCTTGGTTAGTCCAACTATGAGTTAACCTTTCACGATGGAACAAATTGAAAGTTAAAATTCCTGAGGAAGATATACGATATTGAGGTCTTGTGAAGATCGTTTTCAACTTATGTTAGTTTTGTACATTTCTTTAATAGTATAGATTAACTTTGAAAGTGTTAAAATTAAGTATCAGTGGAATATTATTATATAAAGTTTTTAAAACGTTAAAGATAAATGCATTGTTAGAGAGATCTTAAATATTTGTGTAATTCCTGTTCTGTAAATGATATAATTAACATTGTTAATAGAGTATATCGGGATGGCTTTATCTTATGGTTTGTCATTGAACGGCGTGATCTTCTTATGTGCCTACACGAGCTGCATTATGGAGAATCGTATGGTTTCCGTTGAAAGAATAAAACAATTCATAGAGATCCCACCAGAAGCTCCATGGAAGACAAGTTTTGTTCCACCTCTAAATTGGCCCTATCATGGAACCATTGAGATACATCACTTGAAGGTATATGTGTAACATCAATTTCAATTAAAATACTCTCACACTAGTGGTGCTCTTTGTGTTGCTCGAGTTAGAAGTCTATTAAAAAGAGTATTTCTACTTTTAAATATGTGTAAAGTCTACGTACACAGACACCAAAAGTGTGTGTTGTGTAATGTTTGAGATCAAAATTATATCACAATTTTGTACAACCAAAAAACCAATGCCACCTGTCTCACCAAAAAAATTTTACGGAGTAAATATGTGGACAATTTTAAACCCCTTTCTTTTTTTCTTTGACAAAAGTTCAATATCTTTTAAGAAGACATCTAAAATGACACTAATTACGTATACACCATTTGCTTACACCAATTTGTTCAGGCAATTACGCTGTTCTATTTGTAAAAATGATAGTTCCTACCCCCTTTAACGCTCCCCGAACCCCCCACCCAAAAAACTTCACCCCAGTTCCAGCACTGCCCCTCATCCCAGCACCCCTCCCACCACCTTACCCTAGCGGGATGGTGTATAAAGGGTGGCGAGAGGGGAGAAGCTGCGGCGTGGGGTAGAGGTGGGGCTTGAGTTAGAGGTTTAGGGGGATGGTTAGGAGAGATAAGAAGTATCATTTTTACGAACGAGATACCATAAATGTCCCAAACAAACTAGTGACAGAAAATGACAACGGTAGCACTAGTGTCGTTTTAGACTAACTCTTTTTTTAAATAAAGTTCAAATTAAACATTTTTTTACCTTTTAGAATGTATCTTTTCTTTCCAGGTAATGTTAGAATTACAAACAATTTGAACACAAACGATACAAATTTAACATTTGTGTATTTAAATTTTTATTTTTTTTATTACTTAAAATTATTTTATTCACTTGAAAAAGTGTATAAATAATACGTAGTAGTAGATTTGTATGGTTTATGTCCAAAATTTCTGTGACTCTAGGTAGCTTTATTATTTTATAATGGGGATTTGATTATACATACATGGCATATGAAAATTTGAGCAGGTGAGGTACAGGGACAACAGTCCTCTAGTTCTGAAAGGAATATCCCTGGGCATCAATGGCGGCGAGAAGATCGGCATCGTCGGGAGGACGGGGAGCGGGAAGTCGACTCTGATACAAGTATTTTTCCGGCTGGTGGAGCCGGCGGGAGGCAAAATTGTAATAGACAGCATCGACATTTCAAAATTAGGGCTTCACGATTTGAGGTCTCGGTTTGGGATCATTCCTCAGGAGCCTGTTCTTTTCGAAGGCACTGTCAGAAGCAACATTGATCCCCTCGGCTTGTACTCTGACCATCAGATTTGGAAGGTATTCTATTCTAAGTTCTAACAAAGTTGCCTTTCTTATAGACCATCAGAAACAAGAGATGATATTACTACTCGGAGTATTATTTTGTCCATAAAATCAATGAAAATGGGTTTACAAAAATTAAGTTGAGCTGCAATAAAAAGTGCGAAGAGTTTTTTTTGGAGCGAATGAAGTGGTATAAGATCTTGGATTGGTCCTCCTATCATTTCAGCTTATCAGTTCTGTTATGCTAAGCCTAATTGTTTTCACTCTAACCCCACATTAGTATTCTTTAACATCTCTCAAAAGACCTCAAAAGAACTGATACTGATGGAATCAAGCTATACTTTTGGTTCATTTCTCTTTGTCTAAATCCGGTGTAGAACTTGAGTTAGCACCCAATGCATTAGCAGTTAATGCAAATTGGTTGAGAATGCAATCTTTTACTCTATTCTTGTTTCCATTTTAGAGTCTTGAGCGGTGTCAATTGAAAGAAGTGGTTTCTGAGAAGCCGGGACAACTTGACGCTCCAGGTAATTGTGTATCTTTTCCCACCTTTTTTTACACTATGTTTGGTTTGGGGAATTTGGAAGAAAAGAAAAATGCTGAAGAAAAAGAAAAGAAAGAAAGAAAGTCCAAGAATAAAAAAACTTATTTTTTTTTATTAGTAGGAAAATTGGTGAATAAATTACTTTTCGATGATTTATTTATTTGATTATTGTAGAGAAAAAGAAGCAAGACATTTTTGAAAAATGATGGAGGGCGGGTATGGGGGTAGGTGTGGGATGGGGTGGAGAACGAGGGAGGGGAAAGGAATAGTCTCGTCTATTCTCTCCCTTTTCTCACAAAAATGGAATGAAAATCACATTTCATTCTACATTTTCTTACAAAAAATTTTTCTTTTCCCTTCCAGAATTCCTTGAACAAAACATAGTGTTAAACTCTTGTTCAGATGTATTCGAATTTAAAACCATTGGCTCTAAATTTGATCAGTGGCTTATTCGGGCGACAATTGGAGTGTGGGGCAAAGGCAACTTCTGTGCTTAGGGAGAGTGATGCTAAAGAACAGCAGGATTCTGTTCATGGACGAAGCAACAGCTTCGGTTGATTCGCAAACTGACGCTGTCATTCAAAGGGTGATACATGAAGACTTCTTTGACTGCACCGTCGTCACCATTGCACATAGAATCCCCACCGTTATCGACTGTGACCGCGTGCTGGTCATAGACAACGGTGAGTTTGTGTTTGTATCTATCTTAATCGGTTAAATATAAAAGGATTTGAAAGGGGGCAATCTTACACTATTAATTTGGTGTAAGACTGTGACACCAACTCAATTGATGCCTCTACGGTGAGGGTTCCTACTTCCTACCCCCCAATCCCTCGGTAAACCCACCAGCCCAGCATGTCCCTAACGCACCCCCGCACCCCTCCAATTGCACCACCCAAAATTTGGTAAAAAATTTGATGCGAAAAGTCAATAAAATTCGGGTGATGCAATCAGAGGGGGTGCGAGGGTGCGTTAGTGACGGGCTGGGTTAAGGGGTTTACCGAGATGTTAGGGGACAAGAACCGTCAATTTTATGATCGGAGCACCGTAAGGGTGTCAATTGAGTTGGTGTCACAATCTTACGCCAAATTAATGGTGTAAGAGTAAAAAAACAAGAGTTAAGTGAGTCATATGCTAACATTTTTGCTTTGTTTGTAGGGCGGTTAAAAGAATTTGAGGCTCCGGCGAAGTTGCTGGAGCGACCTTCATTGTTTGGGTCATTGGTTCAAGAATACTCACATAGATCATCTGGAGTTTAAACCACACATTTAAGTTCATTGCAGATTAGATCTTTAGCTGATTTTTGATCAGTTCAATTTTTTCAGGACTAGTTTGTGGGTTCTTGTCTTAACATTTTCATTGTTTCATTTCATCTTACCCACAATTTTCTATTGAGGATTGAAGTGAGTGAATAAAAAGAGAAACCAAAACAAGTTCTAATGAATGAGTTTTGTACCTTTTTTATTCAGTGATTGTATCCAAAATGTGAAATTAGAATGCAAAAACTACATAGGTGTGTTCTTGGTATGTAATCCATAACTTCTCATTGTTTATGAGTAGATAAGTACATATAAATGGACTAAAGTCACCTATGCTTTGGCTATAAATCTTTAGGTTCCTTTTCGTGGGCGATGACATCATTCTTGATGTTTCGGTGCGATTGATTTACCTTAGTCCCTTCTTGCTAAGACATTTGTACAGGTCTACCGACTAAGTCAAGCACTCTTAACCTAGCCGTTCCAATTGCCCAGAGGTTAAACCTATTGTGTCTTGCTCACCATGTCGTCAATCGTCTCAATAGTTGGGGGGCTCTCCTTTTAGTTTGATGGTCTCCACCTTCACATGGTTCTCATCAATGGGAGCCTTGGAAGACGTCTTTTTGTGTCTCTTTCGGATAGCCTTCACGCGAAAGGAGACCCCATCAACTTTGTGGATCCCTGGTCAGTCCAGATGCAAGAGAGCTCCCGCATTCCCTTATCGTAAGAGCGACGATAAAGACAACGAAAATTCAAACTTGCTGAGGTGTAACCCCCAACCTAACCTCGCCATTATTTGGTGAGCATCTTCGGTCGGTGGGATGACTTGAGTCGTGGGTTAATGCTAGTTGTCGTTGTAGTTCTGCCTTCCGGTGGCAACCATGGTAACAAATGGAATGATGACTAATATAGGCCGGTAGAAAGATATTATAAAAGAATATGGAGCGAGAGGATAAATCACAAGAATAATATTCTTATTACTGATGTCATAGGACATCCAAAATAGTTTCTAATGTCATATCATCTAAAATAGCCATCAAGACTATATTGTAGGCCTACAAAGAAGCTCAATGTTATTTTATGTCATATCATTCAAAATAATTTTACGTAATTAAGTTTGAAGTTGATTTTCTAGTAGTATTAACATGCAAAAATTAGATATTAATATTATACAATCAATCAAATTTGGGAGTATTGATGTAAATTTTTCCTTAGTATTATGACGGTCACTTTTATCGAATGCTTAAAAAACTAAATACGTCAATAATAAAAAAATGCTAGAGTCACAAAAAAAAGATATAAAAGTTACAAATTTACCATATTAAAATCAAACTTTCATTTTTAAATTATTTGAGATTTTTTGTGTGTGATTTTCCAAATAGTAAATTTATGACTTTTGTAATGTTTTTGTCTCTAACTTCTGAACTTTCTTTACGAGGAGAAATGGCACTCCACTTTGATTAATGGCCTTCCACATCCATCCTTTTTGTTTAAAAATGACAACGATATCCTTGCTCTTATTATTGATTCTTTTTTTAATAGCCCATATCCTCAATATTTTTTATAATTTTATTATCATGTTTCTTTTTTATAGTATTAGTTTAGAAATAAATTTCATAAATGATCTCTAATTATATGCGATTTTTTATATTTCGTAATCAATTCAAAGATATTACATAAATTATCCTTAATTTTTGTAAATTATTCCATAAATAGTCATTTTGGCAAAATATAACAAAATATTTTTTAATTTTCACCTATAGTAAGAAAATTTTCAAAACCTGAGGACCATTTATATAATATCTTAGAATTAATGACTAAATATAGAAAAATATAGGGATCATTTATGAGATTAACTCTTATTTTGGTTTGTTCAAATTTTTGGAGAGATTTTTTTATGGGCTATGACTTTTTTTTAAAAAATTATTGAGCTACTAATCATTTTCAATTTACCTTGCTTTTAGACATGGTTTGTATTTTTCAATTTTTATATACGCTGATGCCTCTTAGAATATCTGGAATTCTCTACTCTACTCACTCCAAATTTAGAACCAGGTCGGCTCTGATTTCACACTTCCTAACATTCAATTAACATACTCTGCACCGACTGCACGTATGGCCATCCCCGAAAAAACAGGGACCCAACACGAAATAGAGAGAATGAGCTCTTGGGTCATAATGAAGTAAATCCTATCAAATATTTTTCTTAACTACTAACATTGTAGTAATAAGAATAATCATAAAATGTCAAATTCATGGTATATATGTATATACAAAATTTTTATTTCCTTAAACATTTTTTTGGTTTTTGCTTTTATTTTACTTTTTTTATTTCTAAATGAAAAAAGAGTACTCCTTTACTCTTTTTTTATCTTAGAAGGGCATTATTGTCAATTGAAAGAAGAAAAAGATGCGGAATCTCATTAAAAGTAACAAATGTGGAGTGCCATTATCAATTTATTTAGATTTACAAATAAAATTAGTCACAAAATTTATAAACTTACTATTTATACTTTAAATTTTCACTTCAAAATTATTTTAAAATAATTTTTTTTATTAAAATTCACAAATAGTAAATTTGTGAGATTTGTGACCAAATATGGTAGATTTCGAAGAGACAAATAGTAAACTTTTTGTTTTAAAAAAATAGAATACGTAGTAGTAATTTTTTTTTGGAGTTTACAAAACCCAAATATGGTAGATTTGGAAGAGACACTAATTTTACATGTAACCAAATCGAGGGAGACAACCCAAATCCAGTTCTGAACATGCAATTTCGGCGCTCAAATGCTCCTTAAATTGTTGTGATTGTGCTGCGGATTCCTGAAAGTTTCAGCCTTTCCGAATCTCTCCTTCAGTTGTTTTTTGCGATTTCCATCAAGAATTTGATGCAAATTTTGGTGGGAGAAGTGTGGCGCTTTCTGTATAGAGAGCGATTCCTTCTAGGGTTCCGTCGAGTTTTCGGAGATGGGAGCGTTGACAGTTAATCGGAAGCGCGGCGAGGATTATTTCGCGGTGAATTCTAGAAACGGGCCTCTAAATATCGATCAGGTTTTGAAAAGGCCCAGGCTTTCGACTTCCAGTCCTGGTTCGCACCCACATCTCAGCGGAAAGTCTGTAGTTTCGAGGTTTTATCGGTACCCTGAAGCTGTTGCCCCTATCAAAAGAGAAGTACACGCTCCTTGCAGAAGGGTCAGGTTCGGGCATTCTGAGAAGTCTAGGGATTCTTCCACCAGTGGTGATTTTAGGGAGAAGTGTGGCAGTGAAATGGGGAATTTAATTGCTAGACTGTTTGGGAAGGCGAAGCCGAGTGAGAAAGATGGCTCGAGGCATGGGGCACATGTGAATGAGGTTATTGAGATTGATAGTGATGTTAGGGAGGAGAGTGTTTCCCGGGATTGGTTTATGAAGGATGTTGAAGTTGTGGAAAAGGTTAGTATTGTTTCTCCTCCAAAGGATGGTCAAGGGGATGTTGAAATGTTAGACAACTATGTAAAGAATGATGTGGAGAGAGCAATTCACCCACGGAGTGGTTCATTGGCTACAGAATTGAAAGATGCAAGTATGAATGTTTATAATCAAGCCAAGACTTCTGATTTGATATCAACCCACCATGAATTCGAGAACTTGGGGCTCCCTGCGTACAAGAAGTTGCTTGATAATATGGAGAAGAGATATGACTGCAATATCAGGAGGCTAAATTTCCAGATTGAACTACACGAGAGACATCGTCACAGACATCAATTGTTTCGGAAACGGGACGAGGTGATTGAGGTATGGTTCCTAAAGTTTCATTTTATTTCATGTCTGGATTGAGCATTCAACGTTTGTGTTTAGGTTACTAGTTTCTTGACTTGCAGGATGTGATTATGGAACCTTTTGTTCCACTCACTGATGATGATAAGGCTCAGGTTGGTCAAGCTTTTTCCGGTTCGAATAGGTATGGTTGTGGCATCATCTATTTCACGTTTTCTATGATTTAGTACTTTTGCATAACGGGTTGTAAAAATGTCCACTTTATTTTCTGCAGGGGGAGAGTTTTGGTAACTCATAAGAACTCCAATATTGATATTACTGGGATTTTATTACAGTGTTTGAAACCAGGGAAATGGCTGAATGATGAGGTGATGCTATTACTTTTGGGTACTTCACATTTGGAAATTTTGTTCATTTTTCTAACTAACAGATAAAAAGGCAGAAGTTCTCAATTTAGTTCTTTCCTTGAATCTTATTATTTGCAGGTTATTAATGTATATCTTGAGTTGCTAAAAGAGAGAGAGACCAGGGAGCCCAAAAAATTCCTGAAATGTCATTTCTTTAACACCTTCTTCTACAAAAAGGTACGATCATCCTCTCAATTTTATGGCCTAAAGTTACTATATAAGTACATAATATCTTAGACCTAAATAGTATTGCCTCAGGCTAATCTGTTCTTCAACTGTATTCACACATCAACAATTTTGCTTTGTTTCTAGAACATACTAGGCCATTCCTATCCTTTTATATGACTCTTGGCTAGTACCTATTTTGATAGACTCAGCTTTTTTATTGAGTACTCCATCCATCCCTCAAAAAAGTGTCCTGTTTGGTCAAGTGCAAATTTTAATTCTACTATTCTACTATTCTAGCAAGGTACCCTTGTTGAATTTCATGAAACATACTTATACTTTTAAAATTTATTTGTTGGTTTAACCGTTTTACTAATTTTTTGATAGCGAAATTTTATTTGAACTTTTTTTGGGCAAATTTCATGGAAAATTAGCTCTGTTTAATTATAGGCAATTTTTATGTGGTGAATTTTTTAACCAAGACTCTCTCTTTCTCTATGTCCCCCCCCCTCCTCTCTCTCTCTCTCCAGTCTCCCCTCTCTCTCTGGAGAGCAGGACTGATAATGTATTGAGTACAGTCCACTGCTCAAAACTGCTTCATATGATCATATCATATATGCTTCTCCTTGGTTCATATTTAATATCAGTGTTTGCAGTCACACATTAAACTTGGTCTCTAATGAAATGAAGACATGGTTTTATGCGGTGGTTCCTTCTTGATTTTCTATTTTTAATGCTCAGTTAAAAAGTGGGAAGAATAACTACAACTATCAATCTGTACGAAGATGGACTTCTCAACGGAAATTGGGATATGGCCTATTTGAATGTGACAAAGTAATTTTATTTTTCAATCTCATATTGGAATATTCCTTATAATATTTGGAAATCACAAATTCACAAGTGGGAACTAACCTTTGTACTAAATACTTAGATTTTTGTTCCCATTCACAAAGAAGTACATTGGTGCTTAGCTGTCATCAACAAGAAGGACAAAAAGTTCCAGTATCTTGATTCTCTAAGGGGACCAGATAATCAAGTGCTGCAAATACTAGTAAGTAATTTCAAAGTAGGATTTTTTTTCATAAAGAGTTTTCCTCCACTGCCAGTCCTTGCTCATACATAATCTGTCATGATCACAAAAGAGACAGACGACTGTATGTGTGACTCTGTGTAGCTTAATGCGTTGGGTTTGTGTCTTAAAGTTAAAACAGGATTTCATTCTCTAAAGGTATCTAATATATGTTAATATGTGCATTCTTCTGCAGGCTAGATACTATGTAGATGAAGTAAAGGACAAAAATGGTGAGGACATTGATGTTAGTACATGGGAAATGGAATTTGTTGAAGAGCTTCCTGAGCAACAAAATGGGTGTGTGCCTAAACTAATTGGTTATTTAGAACCTCCTTATCTGTGATCACGATATTAAGTAAATTATTGTCAGTCATCAAGCAAGCTGGATTCCTTAAGTTAATTAGTCTGTCAAATGACATCATATTTGTACTGAAGTTAATTAGTTCGTCAAATGACATCACATTTTTACAGATGAAAATACCTGCATGTTAGTCAATTTCTAACTAGAGAAGTGCAACTCTATTTCTGTGCTTAGTTGGACTTAATATTCCATTATCATAAAAATTGCTGATTCATGATTAGTTTTCTCTTAATGCCTAAGGGGCAATGATTTTGCATTGAAAATAAGATTATTGTTAGAATGGCATTTGGATATGTCTCCATACATTGTTCAAGCATACCAGCAGAGGCTATTATTATGCTCTATAGGCTCAATCGGAGTTTTATGGAAGGCGTTAGTTTTTTCTCAACCATTTCAGAGTGGGTGTAAACAATTTTCTCTTATGCCCAAAATATCTTGTGATACATATTTTTTCCATATCATAAAAGTCAACCACATTTAGACCATTCATAATTCCTGTCCTCAACATATGCACTGATGCACCTGACTTAATAACAGATTCTCTTTGTTCTTCAGAAAGTTTCAGTTGATTTAGTCATACCTTTATAATAAAAGCCTCCTCTATCATCTGCTACTTGGGTTTGCTTAATCTGATTTGGCACGTATGGCTGTTTTTGTTTTCTTATCAGGTATGATTGTGGCATGTTCATGATTAAGTATGCTGATTTCTATAGCAGAAATATAGGGCTCTGTTTTAGTCAGGTAACATCATGCTAATTACTCCCTCCGTCCCAATGTATTTATCTAGTATACCTTTCTGGACTGTCCTAGTGTATTTGGCCACTTTCCATTTAAGAAATAAAGTTGCTTCTTCTCTTTGTTTTCCTTTTCCTTGGTCCATTTACGAAAAAAGAAAGTGGACAAATACACCGGGACATAGGGACTATTTTTTTCAAAAGCCATGTTGTACTAAATTTATTCAAAACTCTTTACTTGGTGGGGTTTGGGGGGGGGGGGGGGGGG